CCTTTCCTCCGTTTTGGATGTTTGCAATTAAACCCTTAAGTATAGATTCGATTTCACTCGAAAACAAAGCATTGACGCCCTTCATGCATTCAGCGAAATCCCCAAAACAAAATAAACTCAGTTATATCTAGTAGTCTCCAAAATCTTCATAAGACGAAAAGCAACATGCATTATGAAAATTGAAAAAAACGCAAAATATGCCCAGTAATGGTTTTTGAGTTTGCTCTTCGGTCATCGGTGTCCATTTGAAAGTTTTACATGCCCAATTTTTATAGTTGAGAAGTGTGGCCAAGCTGAAAGTGCTATCGATTCGCTCAGCATAACTGAAAGAATATAAACGTATTAAGTACTAACTTATCAAGAACTCCCTTTGAAGAACTTTAGACTAGAGTTCTTCAATTTTTTCAAATTTTTTTGCAGGGTCCCAGCTAAAGCTGCGAATGGACTTAGATAAATCTATAGGTTCGTCGGCCCGTGAAAAAACTTAAAGCTTTTTTAAAGACGAAATAATCAATTTGATGTACTTAAAGATACTTCTGTAAATGTCGAAAATATGTGCGAAATGTTAAGAGGGTATCTTGAATATTTTTTTTTCACGATTATCTTTGAAAACTTACTCCAATATCTCATTGTGATATTTCAGTAATGGGCCCAGCACTTTTATATCAGCATCCGTACCAGTTGGTTGAAAGCTCTCAATTTTATAGATTAAATATCCGAAATGCATATTAGCCAGTTGTACCATGGAGATGAGCAACAAATCGCCACTCAAAAATAGCAGTGACATATAAAATCCGCCACAGCATTGTAAGAAATATGAAACGGCATAAGCAAACGGTTGATTTACATCGTAGTAATAGCCCATCATGAAGGGTAACGTGTAGTCATAAACTTCATTTTTATCGTCGCGCCATATATAACGAAGTAACGATGACACCATTGGATGAAGAAGAAACATTGATGTTATACTTAAATGCCACATGGATAGATATTTGTTGGATGCAGTTATTGTTCTAAAGTATGGCACCAATTGAAAAGCTACGCGCTCTTCCTCCGTTTTTGGATGTTTGACAATTAAACCCTTAAGTATAGATTCGATTTCACGTCGAAAACAAAGCATTGAACAGCCCTTCATCAGTGCATTCAGCGTAAATCCCCAAAACAAAATAAACTCAGTTACTTCTAGTAAGGTCTCCAAATCTTCATACACGACGTAGAGCAACATGCTTATTAAACTGAAAATCGAAAAAACGATAAATAATCCCAGTAATGTTATTTGTAGTTTGCTTCTCGGTTCATCCGGTGTCCATTTGAAAAGTTTTACACCCAAAAATTTTATTTGAAATAATGGTATATGCACAAAGTCCGGTACAGTTGGCGCGAATTCACTGCTTTTGAATAACGGAGTCATTGAGATTAAAACTTATAGACACTTTAAGAAGAATTGTTGAAAGTAAACGGTTGTAATGGCTTTTATATCATGTAGGAAAAAAGCATGCAGCAAAAGGCGCCGTTTGAAGTAACTGTGGGATCCAAAGGCAAGTATTATTTATGTTAGTTCCTTCAGCTGCCTTTTGCAACAAACCTTAATTGATTTGTAGCTATACTGGCTATACATTCGTTAAATATTATAACAATGTGTTTTTTATTACCATTTGACAGTTAAAATTTTAAGCTATTGAAGTTATTTTCGGAGGAAAACTTCGCTTAATATTTTTTTGGCTTAAAGAACACTTTGTCGACCTAAGATCACTCAACTATTTAGTAGAGTAATAAAAACAGAGTTTCTTCTTTGGCCACTCCGCCATTAAGTCGGAGCGTTTGAGTCAGTTGGCTGCAGCATATTCTTCTCGAAACTGCATTTTTCAAGTCGCGCAACGATGGTACTCGGAAATTATTGCACGAATCTTTTTCGTAAAATAAAATCAATCCTCACGTATATTACATGTATTATGAGATCAATCCTCTTTTATTTAAACTCAATTGCATTCTCAATTTGTTTGTCCTCCTTTTCCTTCTGGAAGTTGTCCGCCTATTCTTAGTATTTCTATCTGGAAACTAATCCCCGTTAAATTATGCTCTAAAAGTATAGTACTTCACCATAGATTTTCTAGTTCCCCCATCCCTTTTGTCTACACCTCTGCAAAGTAATTTTGAATGTAATTAAATTTACTGTTTTCATAAAAAGTAATGAGTTTAACCGAAGGGCATTTCGAGATACATGGAAACCGTATCAGCTGTTTCTTTGCAAATAATTATTTCAGAACAGCGAGACAAATTAAATCATTATATTATTATTGTGAGACGGTAAAATTTATATAATATAATTTATAAATGCTATAGTTTTAATATAATCTGCATTATCGTAAATTAAATCAAAGATAACGGTATCGATTAGTATGTAAAGGAAACACGAAAAGATTGTTATCGAAGCTAGATTATTAATTATTTCTTTACCCGAATAAAGAATACTGTAAGAAGTGTTCTTCGATTCAAAATGCCTTCATTGAGAATTTGGGGTTGTTCAAATTATTAGTTATAAGTAGTTCAAATTTAGAAGCCAAAGATACGAAGTTCTCATAAGAATTTTGAGTTCCAGAGTGTAATTGGAACTTATCCATATGAAAGATTGATCACTATTCGTTGATTTTTCTAACTTTATGCAATGAATCAAATAATATTTGAACCTCTCCTAGTAAAAGAATTTATATCATCTCTTTATCATTATATCACACAGTGCGAAAATTGATATTAACCACGCCCATCGCCCATACAAAGATAATGTTTAAAATTACTAAAAGTTCGATAACTGTCAACACTAAAACGTCAGAAGCATTCGATTTTATCGGAAAGAAGAGTGCATTCAAATGTATTTATTAATTTATTATTTATTTATTCATCAGTCACCAGTGAAATTATCTGAATAAAACATTAGAGGAATAGTGTGAAAATTATTGGAATTGGACCTTAAGTTTTAAAAGCACCGAGATATCGAATATGAGAATCTCAGTGCTGGCTGACTGCTTTTATACCAAAAATATTCGTCTATATAAACGAATTAAATCGTTATGGTTAGTTAGAAAAAGAGGCGCAGGAACGCCAAACTACAGTCGGCCGTGCTTAGGCCCTTTATGCTTCCGGTGGTAACCA